CGCACGGCGCCTCTGCCTGAGGTCCGGCCGCCCGCAGCCCGCCCCGGGGTCGCTCTCCTGCCACTCGAGGCCCCCAGCCGTGACCGGGTCCCCCAGGGCTGGCCTTCCACTCAGGCCTGCTTCTCCCTCCCGTGACCAGGCACCCCCCGCCCCAAGGAGGCGCTGGGAGCTGGGGAGGCCTGTGCTGGCCCGAGCGGGCCCTGTCCAAGGGGCCCGCTGCCAGCCGCGGTCCTCGCCCTGCAGTGTCCAGCTAGGAGGGACACTGAGAGCTGCAGGACAGGCGGCTACAGCGTGGGGTCAGCGCTTCGGGCCTCGGCCACACGGCCTGCGGCAGCTCTCGAGAGGACCCAGCCGGCGCCGCCGGCCGCAGCGGCCAGTCTGAGCACTGGGGGCCTCACAGCCGCTGCTTCCTCAGCACGGGGATGGGCACGACTTGGAAGATCTTGGCCTTGTGGTCGTCAGTGTCCAGGGTCACCCAGGTGGGCCGGAAGCTGCCTTTGAAGCCCACGAGGGCCATTTTCTCTGGAAACCACGATGCGGCCCCTGAGCTGACCCAGGGGAGGGCAGCCCCACCCTGGCCCGCGGGTCCCTCGGCACCCAAACGCCTGGGACCTCTGTCCGACCCGGGGGGCCACGGCCGCCCCCACCCAGTGGGGACCAGCCCGGGTGCACGGCCTGCCTCACTCGGGAGCTTGGCCGTCGGCCCCAGGCCCGTGCCCGCGCCAGTGCGGCCTCCGGAGGGAGCGCAGCCCTGGAGAGGAGCGGACAGGTGGCCCTGCTGCCCCCTGGACACACGGCCTGCGGATGCGGCGCGCCTGGGGCTGCAGGGCACCCGGGGCCACGGCCAGGACCCCTGGGCAGCCCGTCTGTGCTGTGTCCCCGGGAAGGGTGCTGCTGGGCCCTCCGCCACGGAGGATTCTGTGCGCAGAGAGGGGCCTGCCCCGCAGGGGACCCCGGGCGCAGCCCCCCACTGCTCCGACCCCTCACCTCTCAGCCTGAGCCCCTTGCCCGCCCCGAGCTTCTCCAGCACTCTGGTCCAGGCGCCTCTGGGGGCCAGTCTGCCCTTGGTGGCCATGAGGATGATGGAACTGAGCCAGAAAGAAC